GAATCAAGCGCACACAAGACGGTGGCTGGACCGTAGTCCGCTGCACACTGAGTGCATGGAACCACTCTTCGAGCCTAGCACGGCCACAAGAACCGTACACCCCGTCCCCTCCAGCAACGACCAACTGTCTCTTGGAGCCAGTATGGACGAGGTAGTGGGTAATAGATAGGTAGGCAGCTCCTCAGCATGCACATCAAGCGCAGCCACACCGTGGATATCAAGCAACAGGCAATCACTTGAAACGACTAAACGAAATAGCATAAAGACAATAATGCATACAGATACGGTGGCATAACTCTTCGCTGAATTAGCATATTGAAGTAAATTGGTTAGCAATGAATCCGCGATAAGGAAAAAATGTCCACAAGCTACTCTAAAATGTTACAAAGGCAACAGAATTACGGAAGATAAGCGCAATTAGCATAAGGGACGTGGCCAGGTAATAGAAGACTATTAACATAGTCAAAAGTAGCCAAGTGAACTAGAATGAAATTTATGCAGCTTAAAGAGACGTAGTTTAAGTGTAAGTTGGTTTAGCCCAACTGCGGTGAAGAAACACCAAGAATGCCACATCAGCCTCACCATGGGGCACGCATACATGCATGTTTGGCGGCATCCGGTTTGTGAATTGCCTGTCACTGTGTCCTGACACAGGACGCCTGGGGCTGCAGAGGGACCATGGATGGCTAGCGCTGCACCACCCACAGCTCCAAGCACACACACGATATCTAGTGTAAACGCAAAGTAATAAGACCTGGAGGCATGTGGATGGTAGCCATGTGTCATGAAGGGACCCGGCGCACACTCCTTCACAGACAAACACCAGCACGCTGTATTTGGGAAATCAAGCGCACACCTGGCGGTGGCTGGACGGTATTCCGCTGCACACTGAGTGCATGGGACCACTCTTCGAGCCTAGCACGGTCACACGGACCGTGCACCGCGTCCCCTCCAGCAACGACAAACTGTCTCCTGGAGACAGTGTGGACGAGGTGATGATTAATAGAGATGTAGGCACGTTGTCAGCATGCACATCAAGCGCAGCCACAACGGAGGATATCAATTAGCAGCCAATGACCAGGAACTACAAGATGAAAGAAAGCAAATGCGATAATGCATACAGATACCGTGGCATAACTCTAAGCTACATAACCATATGAAGTAAGTTGGTTAGCAACAAATCCGAGATAAGGAAAAATGTCCACAAGTTGGTTAGAAATGCTACAAAACGCAACAGAGTTAACGAAGGTTAGCGTAATTAATGTAAGCTACGTGACCAGTGATTATAAGAGTAATCAGTTATGCCGAGCAAACCAGATTAGGTGGAATAACGTTAGCCGGGTTAAAAAGACTTTATTTAAGCGTAAGTTGGTTTAGCCAAACTGCGGTGAAGAAGCATCAAGAATGCAACATCACCGTTATCATGGGGCACATACATATGTATACATATATATGTATATATGTGTATATATATGTATATACATAAATATATATAAGTATATGGTTGCCGACATCCGGTTTCCGATTTGCATGTCACTGTGTCCACACACAGGACGCCTGCGGCTGCAGAGGGACCATGGGTGGCTTGCGCGGCACCACCCACAGCTCCGACCACCCACCACATATGCAGTGTAAACCCTAAGTAATAAGACCTGCAGGCATGAGGATGGTAGCCACGTGTCATCAACGGAGCCGGCCCACACTCCTTCACAGACGAACACAAGCACGCTGTATTTCGGAAATCAAGAGCACACATGTCGGTGGCTGGACCGTATTCCGCTGCACACTGAGTGCATGGGACCACTCTTCGAGCCTAGCACGGCCACACGTACCGTTCACCTCTTCCCCCCCATCCACGACCAACTGTATCCTGTAGCCAGTATGGACGAGGTAGTGGGTACATAGCAGGTAGGCACGTTGTCAACATTGACATCAAGCGCCGCCACAACGGGGGATATCAAGGAGCAGCCAATGACCTGGAACTACAAGATGAAAGAAAGCAAATGCGATAATGCATACAGATACCGTGGCATAACTCTACGCTACATAACCATATGAAGTAAGTTGGTTAGCAACAAATCCGAGATAAGGAAAAATGTCCACAAGTTGGTTAGAAATGCTACAAAACGCAACAGAGTTAACGAAGGTTAGCGTAATTAATGTAAGCTACGTGACCAGTGATTATAAGAGTAATCAGTTATGCCGAGCAAACCAAATTAGGTGGAATAACGTTAGCCGGCTTAAAAAGACTTTCTTTAAGCGTAAGTTGGTTTAGCCAAACTGCGGTGAAGAAGCATCAAGAATGCAACATCACCGTTATCATGGGGCACATACATATGTATACATATATATGTATATATGTGTATATATATGTATATACATAGGCGGGAGAGCCTATGGTGCGCTGAGGCTGGTGGTGGCTAGATCCTGACAGATGGTCTACCCACTGCTGCTACTGTTGCGCCATAGTCTCATGTCCTGGGCGCCTCCACGTGGCGACCGCTGGGTGGGAGTTAGGTTTCGCCCTTCTCCCTGCTAAGATCCAGGACACCAATCCGCATGAGTCAGCTAACTGACCATGTGCTAGACCCGCTGCCTTTCGGGTGTTCATTTAATCGAAGGCTTTGGCTGAGGACCCGAGTCGTTCTCCTGTCAGGTGTGGGCGCCCTGGCAGTATCCTAGTCCATCCTCTCCGGAGGTTAGGAAGTGGTCGATGGCCCACTTCCCGTAAAACCTAGCCATGGGAGACAACAGGTTTACGGGTGATATTCTCAAAGCTCGATTGGCGTAGAGCACGAGTGCCACGCATTGTCTCTGACGGTGGGAGGACACCTCCGGGTGTTCAATGGTTTGCTACTGCCCGCCTCAAGCCAGGCAGCCCCTGGTCAAATTGGTGCAAACCCGCCAAAAACCCACCTGCGTCTGGCCGTGGTCGCAGGTGCGTATCCAATTACGGTCGCAAAACATATGATAATTGTTCCAGAACCTCAAAGGCTGCGTGTGACGGCCGTCAAGCAGATCCCAATCTGTCTCTGCAATCACATTCCCGAGCTGGATCTGCTCTCCACTGCCTTGTGGGTCAGGCTATTGAGCCAAAGGCTCCGGGCGGAGTCCCTCAAGCAAACCTCCGAAGCACAACGACCACCTCGCGTGCGATTGCCCACCAATGCAATCGTATGTCTGCGCGCAAAGCACTCAGCATCGGGTGCTGGAACGTGCGCACACTACTGGACCGGAACTCCAGCGAGCGCCCGGAGCGACGCACTGCACTGGTCGCAATGGAGCTGGCGCGCTACCACATCGATATTGCGGCGCTCAGTGAAACTCGGCTCGCTGAGCAAGGTAAGTTACATGAAGCAGGTGCTGGCTACACATTCTACTGGGTGGGCAACGCCGCCTCAGCACCACGTGAACATGGGGTCGGATTTGCAATATCCGATCGCCTCCATGGCCAGCTGGTGGGTGAACCAACGGGCATCAGCGCGCGACTGATGACTGTTCGCCTACGACTCGGAAGAGGTAAGTTTGCTACTTTTATAAGCACGTACGGTCCGACCATGTGTTATCCTGATGACACGCGTGATCAATTCTACACTGAGCTATCCTCCGTGATACGGTCTGTGCCGAGGAGCGATCAACTATTTCTGCTGGGTGATTTCAACGCGCGTTGGGCGTGATGCATCAGCGTGGACAGATGTTATCGGTTCGCATGGCATTGGTTCAGCGAATGCGAACGGTGACAGGCTGCTCTCACTGTGTGCCACTCACGGCCTGACGATCACGAACACTCGGTTTGCACTGAGTGCGAGTGATATAGCAAGTTGGACGCACCCACGGAGTGGTCACGCTCACCTGCTCGACTATGTCATCGTACGTCAGCGTGATATGCGTGAAGTGCGCATGACACGTGTACTGCGTGGAGCTGAGTGTAGCACTGACCACAAATTGGTTCGGACCAAACTGTACATATATTTTCATAAATCGATGTGTTGCACTCCCGCTGTGAATCGGCGTAAATTTAACATTCTCTCCCTCGGTACTGTGGCGAAACGTACTGAGCTAGAGAAGGCGATGGCTGCACGCCTGTGTGATGTGGACTGCATAGCCACAGTGGGCGACCTGTGGCACCACATTCGCGACCAGGTGACAACTGCTGCTGAGGAGACCATCGGGTGCGCAAACTGTAAGCGGCCTGATTGGTTTGATGAGAACAATGCGACGATCAGCGCATTGGTGTCGGAGAAGAATGCAGCATTTTCTGCACATGCTGCAGACCCCAGTGACTTGGGGAAGAGTAGTCAGTTTCGCAAACTTCGACGGCGACTGACCCGAGAGCTCCGTCGCATTAAAAATGCATGGTGGACGGAGAAGGCGAAGCAGATGGAATGCTACGCCGAACGCCGCCAACACAAGGAATTCTTTGACTCCTTAAAGGCGGTGTATGGACCGAGATTGGAGCCGCTGAGGACACTGATCGATGGTAGTTCAGGCGCTACCTGCACACAGACTGCAGACATAATGCAGATCTGGCGGAAACACTTTGACTGTCTCTTGAACAACCGTTCAGAGATCGACTGGCCTACATTGAACGGCCTGAAGCAGCACGATGTGAAGGCGGATCTGGCGGATACGCCGACACTGGATGAGACGCAGAGAGCACTTGCTCAGCTGCGAAACGGCAAGTGTGCCGGAGCCGACGGGATCCCGCCTGAAGTATTGAAACACGGTGGACCCGCGTTGTTGACTGCGCTGCACCACTTGGTGCAACGCGTGTGGATTGAGGAGGAGGTGCCTCCTGAGCTGAAGGATGCCCTTGTGCTACCACTGTACAAAGGCAAAGGTAGCAAGCAATGTTGCACGAATTAGGCTACGTTTTGATCAACACTCTACAAAGATTTGGCCGGCCTATCTGACCTATAGGGTTTGATTGATGCCACATTGACCCCGCATGCCTGGTTTCGCCAACGCTTTATGATCACCATGGGTCTTACGTTGTTAGGGGGGCTTTTATTTTTTTGATGTTTTACAGATGTTGCTGATAAATTGTGATTGAAGTAGGGGTATTTTTCTGAGCTTTCAAGTGTTGTCCACCTACCCGCTATTTTTTTATTTGTTTGTTTTTGTCGTTTTACGCATGCTGCGAACAATATTTGACCTGACCGACTAGCTAGAGAATTTTTATGCTCGTGTTTAGTTCTCAATCATATTTTACTTGGTGTAATTATCCTTCTCGCCTACACCATTTACCTTCCCCTATTCTGCTTTAGCTTTTATTCCTATTTTTCACTTGTTGTGGCCTGAGCCCTATGGATAGTCTCTTTTAGTCGACCGCGGATTCATGCACCGTGCACATATTCACTCACACATCTCACATATGAATTCCCCATCACTGCACATCGACGGAGTAACAAACAACATTCCACAACCAACAATGACAACCTCCGCCATACTTTCGACTTCTCACACCGTGTTGCAAAATTACACCTGTAATATCTGTCACGCTCTTTTCTCGACGGCTGCTGGTCTTACTCGGCATACCGGATACCACAAACGACATCCCAACGATCTACGTATACGCGATGCTCCGGTGACGTCATGCCAACAATGCAATCGTCAATTCGCCTCAGCAAGAGCGCTTACCACTCACTGCCGCCAGGCTCACCCCACTATTTACCAAGACATGCTGTCATCCCGAACGGCCATATCCTCAGTACACTGGTCTGCGGAGGAAGATGCTCAGTTATTACTGCACGCAGCTCATTTAGGCGAATCTGTATCTTCACTAGCACAGCTTCTGCCACTTTTACAAACTAAACTCCCCTTCCGAACGATGACAGCAATAAAGAAACGGCTCCAATTTCTAAAATGGAAACGCCCTCCAGGCCGCCGCCTTCATCGCCACCAACCTCAACAGTCGTTAACACCCACAACGGGTGCAACCGATAATATTACTGAGGACACAACCAGTAACCACAGTCCGGAGCAAAACACACCGAGCTTTCCTGTGATATCCCTAGCATCCAATGAGACCGCGTCACCCACTCCAGAGAATCGATCACATCGCCCCTCTGCTCCAGTTGAGCCTTCCACCGGCTCAGCATCCTCTCGTACATCATCCAGCTTATCATCTGCCTCTGACAGCAACAAAGAATTGGAAGTATTTTATACTTGGAAATATTTTACTCGTCGCCAGCCAGCTATTTCGCACCACCGCTGCCGTCCCGGATCGCCCAACAACCCTTTTATCACCAACGCCCCAGATTTTAACCCCTCTAATGACCCGAATGCCATTTTATGCACGCCCAACCCGATTAACCCCCCCTCACCCCAGCCGCGGATAGGGGCCTATGAACGGCCCGCGGCGCAGGCTCCCACCTGTTTCCCTTTATCCCCTGCCCTGCAGAGTCAGAGCAGTGGATTTGCTGGTTGCTCTTTCAACGAATCAAACGGACCGGCCTCTGCCGACTCCATAGCCAGCTCTCGGAACCGCGTCCACCCGTCACCCACACACTCACCCTTATCACCCATAGCCCTACCATCGGGATCACGACAACCATGTGTACTACTTAATCGCCTCCCTCAGTTGTTGCCATCACCACGACGAAGAGTTTCTCCTGCTGAAGCTACTTTATCAACATGCAAATCTCCCGCCTCCGATCCGGCGAAGATCTCTGACGTACCCCAGCCTCCCTCTTGTTCACTGTGCTCGAGGACGTTTAAATCTAGGAGCGGCCTGCGGCGCCATTTGGCGGCCCATCTCAGGAACCCTACGAGTTTACTTACCACAGCCGCTGCCAGGAATACTTCCAGTTTCGAATGCCCAACATGTCACCGTACGTTTTCGACTAAAAATGGCCTGTCTCAGCATTGGAGACATCAGCATCCTGTCAGTTACAATGCAGACTGTCTAGCCCGACTACCGAGGCAATCTTACAACTGGTCAGCCAGGGATGACAAATCCCTACTTTTAGCAGCCTCACGTTTTGCGGTTACGTCTCCTTCCTTAAGTATCCTTTTAGAACGACTGAGGCGCGTCTTCCCCTTTCGCACCAGGGACGGTATCAGAAAACGCTTGCAACGACTTAGATGGTTCTTTCATCAACACCACACAACGTCCACTTCCAGTGCATTTCCGCAACCATTGACTGAAACCAAACATCCAATCACGCTTCCAGATGGAACCGTACGAGCTTCACCCTTCTCAACCATAACGTCCGATGAATTCCATCAACCTCAGCCTATATTAACTACTAACTTGGGTGTGTCTACACAAACCCCTCGAGAATCGTACGAAGGCAATCCTGCGGTGACCACCGCCTCCTCCGACGCTGATTTGCGTTTCAATGTACCATCCCCCACTGCCTCGATGGATTATTCAATCTCGCCTCACTCATCTGCAGCATTAGTTCCAGAGGCAACAGTATGCCCTCAGGAGCAGTCGTCTACCATAAGTTTCTCTAGCGAAACTTCAGCTGGTATTATGGCCTCTCCGTCCACTACGTGCCCCATGGCCATTGCGGTACAGGATCAACCAGAAGCTTCCAATACTAATTACGAAGCTTCCATTGCGTCCGCGCCAACACCAGTATTCCGCACTCTGCTGCTAGCTGCCCAACAGCTTCTTTGCAACTGCGCCTCTCCTGCCAAGGAGGAACACCGCATACTTCGGAATCTGGTGAATTCATTCGCTACTGATGGATCGAGGATAGCATTTAGTGAGGCCCTAAACGATGTGTGTGCTACTCTCTTTCCACACAGATGGAGGCCTTCGAAAAAACGTGTACATACCGTTAAGATTCGAAACAATCAGCACCGGCGACGCCTACAATATGGCCATATTCAACGTCTTTATCATACCCGCCGGAAAGACGCTGCAAGTACGGTGATTGACGGAAGATGGCGCACTGCCTTTCTTAATGAGGACGAGAATATTCCAGGTTTCACGGAATATTGGAAGAATCTCCTCTCCAGACCTTCTGCTAATGATGAGCGCGCACCGCGTCGATTCCTTCCAGCTAATGATGACTTGGTGAAGCCAATTGCCCTGGAGGAGATGCAAAGTGTTCTTAAACAGATGCGGGGTTCGGCTCCCGGTGTAGACCGCATCAAGCCAGCCGATATATCAAAGATGGATCCCTACTTTGTAACTTCTTTTCTCAACTGTCTTCTTGCTTCCTACCCATTTCCCATCCACATGAACACTGCTCGGATCACCTTCGTACCAAAAGTTTCCCAGCCCATATCACCTGACCAATTCCGTCCAATCGCAGTTTCATCTGTCTTCCCACGCCTTCTTCATCGTATCCTCTTTGATCGTTGGGTTCCGACTTTCCCTACCGATCGCCTTCAATTTGGTTTTCTTCGTAAAGATGGTGCTTTCGAAGCCCCGTCCATACTCCATGCTGCTCTTCGCCATTCTCATTCTTCTCGTACCCCCCTTTCATTTGCGGCAGTGGATATCTCGAAGGCGTTCGATTCCATTTCTCATCACTCCTTACTTCGAGCAGCAGCTGCTTTCGGAGCCCCCCCCGCTATTATTAGATTACTTGGCATCGTATTACAGCTCCGCGTCTTCAATCTTTAATGATGTCAAGCTTCATCCTGATAGAGGAGTCCGGCAAGGAGATCCGCTTTCGCCTTTGCTCTTCATAATGTCCCTAGATGAAGTTTTGCACGGAGTCGCCACTTCGCCTTGGATATCACCGGCTGGCCCGATTGAGTACCTCGCTTACGCGGACGACGTGATCATCTTTGCTCAAGACCGCATTTCTCTGGGAGATCACCTTCAGCGATTCCATCAACGACTGCAGTGCGTCGGCCTCAACATCAACCATCTAAAATCTTTCTCGGTAAATATAATTGTTGATGGCGCTCGCAAACGAACCATACTGGATACGAATGCTTTGGATTGTGGTCCTATTTTTATTCCCTCCATTCAGCCCGATGAAAAGTTCAAGATGTTGGGCCTGCCTTTTAACTGGAAGGGTAAGCTCCCTCCAACAGTAATCGACGATGTTACTGTGCAACTTAACGAAGTTACCAAGGCACCGCTTAAACCACAACAACGACTTGAGATTCTGAGGACCTATCTGCTCCCCAAGCATGTTCATCAGTTAGCTCTGGCAGTGGTTCACCGGAATACATTGAAGCGGTTGGATCGCATTGTCAGATCACACGTCAGAAAATGGCTGCGCTTGCCGTCAGACACCTCCATTGCATATCTTCACGCTCCTATTGCGAGCTTTGGTTTGGGTATTCCGTGTCTGTCAACGAGTATTCCCCTGCTACGGAAGGAGAGGCTGGAACGACACCTAGCCAACTGCCATCCAGTGACCAGTTGGGCGATCCGGGACCCTGCAGCCGCTGCCATCCATCGTCTAGCGCGCTCCACTGTTACCATCGGTAATCGCGTCGTCATGGATAAAAGCTCAGCTGCGGATGCCTGGAGAGATGCTTTTTTTGCTTCAGTGGATGGCTCTCCCTTGCGAAATGTGGTCACGTCACCTTCCGCTCACCACTGGCTGAGGGACCCCAACAGGATTTTTCCACGTCTTTTCATACGGGGTGTCCAACTACGGGGGGTGTTCTTTCTACCAAAACGCGACGGAGCAGAGGCAGATCTACAAATGACCCGGCTTCTCTCAACTGCCGCGGGAGCTGCGGACAAAAAGAGACTCTGTCACACGTTCTTCAGGCGTGCTGCATCACGCATGATGTCCGCTGTAAACGTCATAATGAAATCGCCCAACAGATTGCCAGGCAATTGCGGCGCCGAAGCATTAACATTGTTATGGAGCCGAGGATTCCGACAGCCACCTCCTTCATCAAGCCAGACCTGCTTGCGGTTAGAAATTCTACGGTTCACATTGTGGACGTGGCCATCTGTGACGCGTACCGAATGGATTGTACTTATAAACTGAAAGTGGATAAATACGGATCAGGGGAGAATGCCGCAGCCATATCGCGATACATACGTGAACAGTTTCCTGAGACGACAAATATTGTTCACCACCCCGTTGTTATCAATAATCGAGGGATGATATATTCCACCTCAGCTAAACATCTTACCGCACTCGGGATGACATCACTTGATATTTCTGACCTCTGTGTTTCTACTCTTCGTCTGACTCTGAAGGTCTACGACACCTACATGCGTGGTGCATCATCACGCCTTACATAACATGCACCCAATCCCACGCGGTGACAATTGACGCGGTTCCGACCACTGTTTGAATTTTTTTTATTTCAATCAGTGTTTCCTATTCTGCCGGGACATTCGTCCTCTCTTGGCATATTGCTGTACAGCTCATCCCTCGAGCCATGCATGCAAATGTCAAAAATAAATGTTAATGGCATCAACTTGCTGAGTTGTGTGGGCAAGGTGATTGCCCGAATCCTGCTCAACCGCCTCGTCAGTCAGGTTGTGGAACCTAACGTGGCGGAAGAGCAGTGTGGATTCCGTTCGGGTCGCAGCACTATAGATATGGTGTTTGCGGCTCGTCAGTTGCAAGAGAAGTGCAGAGAACGACACCAGCCATTGTACTCGCTTTTTGTTGATTTCACCAAGGCATTTGATACGGTGAACCGCGAGGCATTGTGGCTGGTGTTGGGTAAGTTTGGTTGCCCGCGTAAGTTTGTAAGTTTAATTGAATGTCTGCACAGTGGTATGCGAGCGAGGGTGCAGCTGAGTGGAGAGACCTCGGATGACTTTGCAGTTGTCTCTGGTGTGAAGCAAGGCTGTGTCTTAGCTCCTGCCCTGTTTAATATATATCTTCATGCAATGTTGTCTTGTGCTTTTGATGCGGCTTGTGCTTACGGTGTTCGTGTGGAGCACCGTATTGATGGTGGGTTGCTGAACATCCGTCGTTTCGGTGCGAGAACTCTAGTCTGTGAGACAACTATCCGTATGTTGCTGTTTGCTGACGACTGTGCGTTGTTTTCACACAGCGCGGATGAGTTGCAGCACATGACTAGTGCTCTGGCTTCGACAGCGGCCAAATTCGGGCTCACCATCAACACAAGCAAAACTGTCTGTCTCTTTCAGCCTTCACCGGAGGTGCAATCTTCAATATTGCCGCAAATCAGCATTGGTGCTGAAGTATTGGAAACCACCTCCCGCTTCTGCTACCTTGGGAGTGTGATGTCGACTGATCAGCAGCTACACGTTGAGCTGCGTATTCGCGTGTCGAAGGCAGCGGCAGCATTCGGGAAGCTTGAGTACCGAGTGTGGAACAACCATCAGCTTACCATTGGCACGAAGCTGATGGTGTACAAATCCATGGTGCTGTCCGTTCTTCTATACGGCAGTGAAACGTGGACGATGTACCGTCGGGATGTGCGATATCTCGAGCGGTTCCATCAGCAGTGTCTGCGACGAATTTTGCGCATCGGTTGGGGCGACAGAGTTGCAGACACGGAAGTGTTGCGCCGAAGTGGGATGTATGCAGTGGACTGCATACTTTTACTGCGACACCTGAGATGGCTCGGTCATGTGAGCCGTATGGATTCGACGCGGATACCGAAACAACTCTTATACGGTCAGCTGAGTATTGGGAAGCGGCACGTGGGGAAACCAAAGTTACGTTACCAGGACATGATTAAAGTGAGCCTCACACGTTCTAATCTTGATTGCAGATCATGGGAATCGAAGGCGGTTGATCGGCGTGCATGGCGCGATCTAATCACGAAGGCAGTTGCTGAAGTGCGGGAGAAAGCCCTCATGCATGCAGAGAAGAAGCGGCAAGTGCGGAAGCGGCAAGCACCGATGAATTGTACTCCATCGACATCGAGCGCATGGTGCTGTAGAACATGCGGTCGCGAGTGCCTTAGTCAGGCAGGCCTAGTGAGCCATGAGAGAGGTCACTCGGGACCACTGCCGAAGCGACGACGGGTCCCGCAGTGAACGTAGGCAGCACCGGCGCAGCGTTTGTAGGCACGCTGAATTCGATTTACTAACCGCATGCTTGCATGCTAAGTCTCTTTATTTCAGGTGGTGGGTTTTCGGTTCTCTCCTAATGCCTTTCTTTCTCATATAAATGTCTAGTGGGCCATGAGCTGTGCCATTTGGGGCCACTACAGAAGCGACGACGGGTCCTGCAGAGAATTACGGCGAGCCGGCGCAGCGTTTGTAGGCACGCTGAATTCGATTTACTAACCGCGTGCTTGCATGCTAAGTCTCTTTATTTCAGGTGGTGGGTTTACAGTTTTTACCTTAATGCTTTTCTTTCTCATATAAATATCTCCCTGTACTCTATTCCATTAACTTGCACACATCGCCTAAGCCAATTGTATTCGATTTCCATAACATTTTTGTGTTCGTGGCATTCCGTGAACTATACTTCCTGACCTCGTGCACTTAGCTAGGATTTGTTTGTAAACAACTTATTACATATGCTATTTAATTAAGGTTTATGTCACCGTTTCCTTATGCATTAATCGAGTTTTTCTCTTTTTCTTTCTCTCTCTCTCAAGTGTTTGGCTGTTGTTTGATATCCCCGGTGTGGATGCGCTTGATGTGCATGTTGACAAGGTGCCTACCTGTCTATTACCCACTACCTCGTCCATACTGGCTCCAGGAGACAGTTGGTCGTTGCTGGAGGGGACAGGGTGCACGGTCCTTGTGGCCGTGTTAGGATCAAAGAGTGGTTCCATGCAGTCAGTGTGGAGCGGACTACGGTCCAGCCACCGCCTTGTGTGCGCTTGATTCCCAAATACAGTGTGCTTGTGTTTGCCTGTGAAGGAGTGTGGGCCGGCTCCGTTGATGAAACGTGGTTCCCATCCGCATGCCTCCCGGTCTTATTCCTTCGGGTTTACACTGGATATGGGGTGTGTGGTTGGAGCTGTGGGTGGTGCAGCGCAAGCCATCCATGGTCCCTCTGTAGGCGCAGGCGTCCTGTGGCTTGCCACAGTGACAGGCAAATCCGAAACCGGATGCCGCCAACCATATATATATATATATATATATAAGTACATGGTTGGCGGCATCCGGTTACTGATTTGCCTGTCACTGTGTCCACACACAGGACGCCTGCGGCTGCAGAGGGACCATGGATGGCTTGCGCGGCGAACAACTTAAGTAGTGCGCGCGCTAAATAAATAAATAAATAAATATTTATTCTCGACTGTGCGAGGCACGCCAGTTGAGGCATGATCAGGTATGTACAGCTGTACAGACATTTTATGGGAACTGTAGTGACAGTAGAAAATTGTTCATATGTCCATGCTTGGAACTGTGCGATGGTGAACTTGCGAAAGAACGATTTGTTTGGACATAATCGCTGTGCCATATATCGCAGTCATACCTCTAGTAATAATAGATAAAGAATCCTGAGTGATCCATTGGAAGATAATTGCAGAGCAAGCTATCCAGTATGATGATTCTAATTGAGCTGCCAGTGTGAAGTTATGGGCTGTGACTTTATTCGGTGGCGAGTCACATTCGCCACGTTGCAGTGTTGTTAGACGGACATTTGTGGCTTTTTATAGGGAGAACGCTTGCCAGGCGAAAACCCACCACGTCCTGAAACACTGCCGCCATCCATTGAATGGCAAGTTGTAACTGGCTATGTTTCTTGTTGAACGTTATTTTGCTCCGTTATTCGCAGTCAAGTTGCGTCCCATTTTTCTGCTGACTGATGCGCTATGCGAGCGGCCATTGTGTGCCTGGGTCCTCTCCTGTTCCAGATCGGTAGGTCAGGAACTAAGCATTCTTTCTGGATTTGATGTGTTGATCATCTGCAGAACCACGTGAAGCCTCGAAGAACATACGTTGAAATATGTTGAAGTCTTGGAGGACAGGATAGGTTCCGAAGAAAGAATCCGCAGATCCCCCGGGGTATGTAGTGAAATTGATTAGAGATTGTGGTAACCACGGCCATTTGAGCGGTCAAAGCGGATTGAAGAGCTTAGAATGACCGATTGTTCAAGCTTTGTCTTGGCAGAAGAATGTGCCTTCCGTAGTCGAAAGTCCTCCAGTCAAGAGATATGTGGAATAGGTATTGTTAGATAAATTAGACTCAGTGGTTCATGCCGCGGAAGAATTGATTGATTTGTCCAGTTAGTAAGTTGTAAAAAAGTTGATAATTTTCCGCTCATGTCCAGGTAGAGGAACTGTGTGCCTTGTATTGTTGTCGAAACGGAGGACAATTCCTTGGGTGCGTGTCGCCGTACCTGTGACAGACTCGGGAGAAAAAGGAAACGAACAGAGACAGCCACACAAACAGAAGAAAGGAATGCATCTGGAATGCAGTCAATCAATTGCGG